TGCCATGTCACTTTGGTCTTTCTTTTTCAATTCACTTGAAAGCCGTAGCATGTTGTTTTATATGTAGTGTTCACAGCTTCCACCTTCTAACATAATAAATAAAAAAATAACACGCATTCCAGGTGATGGTTTACCATTCCCATCTGTGCACTCACTGGCAAGCTGAGATAGAGCAACTGGTTGAGTTTGTATAAGTCATTCACCACAATCATCTTTTTTCTGCTTCTTCTCTTTCTTCAGAATTTTCTGGTTGCTCTGGGACAACATGCTGCCTCTCACAGGTCAGTCTTGCTACTACGTCAGCTATCAGTATGTGTGTGGTATGTTGTGTTGGTAATTTCAAGTATACCACACACTCTAAGAATAGTGAACACAAACTGTGATTTTTTTTTTTTAATTCATTCAAAAAAGGAATGTGCGTGCCCTGATTTATTTCTCTCTGTGAAGGCAAGCCTTCTCTTTAGAATAAATGTCAGTAAAGATTGCATTGAATGGTTCATTGAGTTTGGCACCTTCTTCCACATACACAAAATAAGTGACCACTAATTGTCTAATTAGTGGCAGTTTGATAGTTGGGTGTCGCTGGCCGTCAGGGCTGAAGCTCCATGAAAGAGCCAGACTGTGCATTGATGTTTTTTTTTTGGGGGGGGGGGGGTTTGTCTTAAAAAGGCAGGCAAATGTTTGATACCATGTGGTTTACCGTGAGTCTCTGAATGGTCTTTTTTTTTTTTTTTTTTTCCATGAAGTCAAAGTAAAGCGTTTGACATTTTAAGTTAAGCCTCGCTACTGATCTCTCCTCCTCAAAATCCCTGCCCCCCTGGCGGGGATCTGTGTGTGAATTGTGAATCAAATGAGTGGCTTAAACGCGGCTCAGCTTCTCTCCCGCTCTTGTCGTCACTCTCTCCCCTCCCTCCCTCTCCCGATGGTTTTGTACCTCGGTGCTGGACTGAACTCTCATTGCAGAACAAAAATCTAAACCTCATAGTTACCTTGGTGAATATGTCACCTATAAGACTGAAGCAAAAAAACAAACAAACAAACAAACAAACACAAATTTATCTTTGTGAATGAAGATAATGATTGAAGGAAATTAGATTTTTAAGCATAGTTTTATTCATTCATGACTGAATATCTGTCACTCCAGATATTCGCTTCGCTTCGATACACAGTCTTGTAATGTAAACAAGTATGAAAACAGTGGTACCTCGACTTATAAATGAATTGACTTACCTACTTATGGTAGCAGCGAAGTTCACATCTAGCTATCTAACTAGCTAGCTATCAATGAAACCGACTGCATCTCCGACCAGAAGGCAACTGAACTGAACATTTTTAGGCCTTACAAGTGTCTATTTTTCCACTATTTGAACACGTCAAGGTTGTCCAGGTGGTTGAAGTGTCTTGTTTGTCCCTCGTATATATTTTTAACGTGTATATGCTCTGCTTTGCTTCGATACACAGTCTGGTAATGTAAACAAATATGAAAACAGTGGAACCTCGACTTACAAGTGAATTGACTTCCCTACTTATGGTAGCAGCGAAGTTCACATCAAGCTAGCTAGCTATCATTGAAACCGACTGCATCTCCGCCCAGAAGACAACTGTATTGATCTACTTCATGATGCCAAAAAATCTGTCTACAAAGAAAGCAGCACAGCTACTTTCTTTGCCTTTTAGAAAGTAGTTGGTCACTGAATGTTTTCCGAAATTATTTCCTTGGAAATACAGTGGAAGTGCCAAAAGTGGATTTGGAGTTCCTGGAAAAACATGCCTGAAAAGTAAAATGAAAAACTTGGTTCCACAGCCAACGTCACTTTGGCGCTTCTCCCATAACCATCGGTCACCATGATTTGTTGCTTCAAACTAGGGAATGCACTGTGGTTATTAGGCAGTTTCAAGGTCAAGTAAAACCTTTAGATGTGAAGTGAAGGACAGTGGCCCAATGGTGTCAGTTTGTTATTGTACTGCGTGCCTCATGGCTGCAGCACGTCACTTTCCATCACTTTCCCAGGTTAGCCCCCAAGAGGCTTTCGGCTGCCATGCTGTTTACAATACCTCCCATTCAGCCCACTGCTCCTCAATGAAATTTCTATTTTTAGAGGCTGCTGGCGTGCACAGAGTCATCTGCTTGTTCTGAATGAGGTCTGGTGGTTTTGACAAGGTTAGCTGGATTAAAGCATTGGTGGGAGGGGGATCTAAAGGACAGGTCACTGGGGCTGGTTGGGGGTGAGAAGGCCACCAGGAGAAGACTGGCCGCCCTGACTTTATTTGATGGTCAGCGTCGGCCCGCTATTTAGCGAAATGCTGAGCAGGTGATGAAGCAGTGTTAGCTAAACATTTACTCAATGCCCAAACTCCCGTTTTTTTTCTTCCCCCCCTTTAATGTGGCCTCCGCGTCTGCACTTAGACCAACACTGACGCCAAATATGCACAGATTTCTCTTCTAATGACGGGAAGCCAACATGAAACGAGACCTGTTTGAAACATCCAGCGGTGTCATGCACATTGATGTAACTTGTTACAAATTTACAATGCTCTCCTCTTATGACCCCACCCGTTCACTCAGCCAATGGCTCCTGCCAACAGGCTCCTGTATCGGATCCCAAACTCACTTTCGCTACCCAAACCCTGGAAAATATTTTGGATTCGGCACGGAATGTTTTGGACTAATGTAGCAATTACAATTAGCGGTTGTAAGGCAAATAACAAGACCCTGTTGTGTAGGAAATGTTTTTGTCAGAGTTCAATTCAATGACAGAGCGAGGGACCGAAGATTGGTCGTTTCCTTACCAAGTTTTTCCTTTTATATTTTTGTTTTGAGGCCTTGCTGTTTTCGTCACAGCGATGCTTCAGCCAACTTGTCCCGCTCTATTGTGCCGCTGGCCTTTCATTGAACCTGTGTAGCTATAAACATGGCTAAGTGCTCTCCTGCAGAAGCAGGCCCGCAAGAGGACAATACTGTGACAGGAATTTGCTGTACACTGTCGCCAGCCACATGCTTAATTAAACTTGTGCAGCGAGGGGAGATGGGTCTCAGTGGAGCAATGGAACAAAACTCACTTAAATGCAACCTCTGACTTGAAACAGATTGCAAAAGTTCTGTGAAGTGAGCTTACCAGCCCTTCTTGTTTATAAACAACTGCATCAACATATCCCTCTATAAAGACATTAATACTACCGTCTTCAGTTCATTAATGCAGCATACTATTTTGCTTTTTCTGTGATACACAACAGTGTTGAATAACCGTGGCTGTGTGAAAAGTGAAAAAAAATGAAACCCAATTGTGTCCTTTTAAATTCCGAGAAACGTATCATCAAAATCATCATCTGCAAGCCAAAGTTCGAGGCCAAAACCTGAGGCCAATCTCTTCGCAGAGCCTTGCTCAGCCAAAATCTAAACAGCAAGCTGAACTTTCCCTCTCTTTTAATATCAAGATGGAGCCTCTCGTTGAGCTCCGTAAGCTGCCGATTTTGTTTCAAAGACTTTTTGGCCAGCTATCACCTTAGTATCGCCCAGAAAAAACATTGTCACTGTGTGGTCAGGATAAGCTGCATTGGGATATAGTGCAAATGAATGCCAGTGTGGTCATGTTTGGACAATTTAGAGAAGGCTAGAGCAGGAAAACCCTCAAAGTCGTCTAAACATAGGAACTCCTAAACCTTCGAGGCTCTCACGGTCTTGACTGCATTGCAAGATGACAGACAGTCCCTGCCGTAACTAAAGACAAACTCTCCAGAGTAGTAGACAGCTTTGAACATTTTTAGGCCTTACAAGTGTCTATTTTTCCACTATTTGAACACGTCAAGTTTGTCCAGGTGGTTAAAGTGTCTTGTTTGTCCCTCATGTATATTTTTAAAGTGTATGTGCTCTGCTTCGCTTCGATACACAGTCCTGTAATGTAAACAAGTATCAAAACAGTGGTACCTCGACTTACAAGTGAATTGACTTCCCTACTTATGGTAGCAGCGAAGTTCACATCTAGCTATCTAGCTAGCTAGCTAAGATAGCTAGCTCGCGATCTCATCTGGTTAAAAATTAATCTGTAGGAACTACAGGTGTTTCAGGTTCTCAGCATTTACATGTCCAGTCATTTTCGCCTATTAAACTGCCTTTGAAATGAAGTTCGATGGCTCTTATCAGTCTATATGCTGCGCTTGCTTAGCAGCCGGCTGCTAGCTACTAGCAGCTAACGTTGTGCTCAGCGTAATTAGAGGGTTATTTATTTTTTTACTTAGTTAAATTTTCAACTCAAACTGGGCGCTAACTATTAAACTTCTAGCAGGGAAGACAAGTCAAGTCAGTCGCCACACCATCAAGCACTGCCAGGCAGATTTTATTTTGAAGTTGGCCTTCTCACTACATTGAGGCCTGTTACCTTCATGCGAGACTTTTACTCAAGCAGTATTTTACAATGGCACTTTAATTTCTACCGGTTATTTTTTGTTAAGACACCTGTACTTTTACTCAAGTGTTGCTTTCAGGTTCTTTATGCAAGACTGGCTTCATAGTAATGCTGCCACCCACAAAGCTACTTATTGAATGAACAGGGCCAAAAGAAGTTCCTTTAAACACACCAGTTCATCTAAACACAAACTCAAGTACAATAGATACGGTTTGACAATTATTCATCGTACATTGTCGAGACATTTTGTTTACTGTAGTTCAGCTCCTGAATACAACATTTCGTTCTTGACATACCGATGTTGCTAAACCATAAAGATGTTGCGTTCCCAAATGGACTACTCTGTCTTGGAGAGGGGGCTGAAATATTCCAAGTCTGAGTTTACTGTGATCAGAGACAGTTTCATTCATGTCTTCAATTAATGCCTCCGCAACCCTCGAGTCATTTTCCACTCTCTAATTTATGTAATAGCTGGGGCAGGGAGGCTTGGAGTAGCACAGCCAGCTTTGCACTGCTCATTATCTCCAGCACCAAGGCCTGTGCTGTATTTAACTTAATAATGAGGCCAAATTAACAGCAACACTGGCCTTGTTCCAGGTGCATTGTGGGCGAAGGTTTTGATGAGTGGAGGGGGGAGAACCTGGACAGCTGAGTGAAAAGTTAACAACTAAAACAGCATTCAAGGAAGTGGAAAGAGATCCTTGCTCAAGGTGAGTCCACATTCTAAGGAGTCATACACGCACGCGCGCACACACACACACACACACACACACACACACACACACACACACACACACATGTGCAGTGGTGTACTTTGGACAATTTTATCCACAGATGATTTCATGGTGTAAAGACTATTATTTTCTTGATTCATTGATTTAATTTTTTCATTTTTTTTAGCGGACCTTGAATCTGAAATGAGGTTAATTTATGTTCATAAAACATTATTAAAATGCACACAATTAACTCTTATCTTTGCAAGTGAATTTCATAGCCCTTCACATTGTGACATGATGGAGCTCTTATTTTTCATTGTCATTAATAAATCACTTTTTTTGTTGTTCTTTAAATGACTCAAACCAAAGCCTTTGTGCTGTAATTTCATCACTTTCATCAGATGCCCGACAGTGCAATCTGTTTGAATGTGCATTTTTATATGTGTAGATCACAGCCCTGAGTGTTTTTTTTTTTTTTTTTGGCAAAGCAAACAAACTGTCATTATGGACCGGTATGATGACGGGTCACTGTGAGTTTCAGCAAATATTCTTGAGACGTCCGCTTTCAACCCGACCTGTCTTCATAATTGATTCAGATATTAAGTAATCAAAAGAATAAATGTTGCTTTTGCTGGATTTTCAGGATATAGGAGGTGGGGATCATAATTCATTCCTTGAGCGATATTAATTTGGTCGATAATGTGGAACTGATTGCTGATTGCAGATTTTAAGAATAGTTCATCTCATCTTCACAGTATAAATGGGCTGTCTTTTGCATGATGATGTACTGTATTTGCAATGATATCACTAATCAGGCATCTGTATGTGTCATAGATTCTTTCACTGCACTCGCACTCTGTCCAGTTCACTTTTTACAAACGTCGCATTCACTGTAATTCTACCAGGAGAACTTTCTACATTCACACCAGATGAAAATAACAGTTTTTCTGGATGGAAATGTTGATGCAAGCCTTGGCTTTGAAGGATCACATTTCTAAAAGACGCACATCTGCCATCCTCCACGCTGATGGTAAGATAGCGTATAATTAGTGCTCCAGATTGTGTGTGTGTGTGTGTGTGTGTGTGTGTGTGTGTGTGTGTGTGTGTGTGTGTGTGTGTGTGTGTGTGCGCGGTGCGCATCTAGTGACAAAATGCATTCCTCCGTGTCTGATGTGTGATCACATGCAGTTCTGTGGCAACGTTGCACTCTTATCTGAAGTTCATCTGGAGCATGCCTGACCCTTTTAACGGAATTAGAAGCAAATTAAGTAGAACGCGTTTATGACATGTTTGAGTGTACCAAGCAGTTTAAATGACAAACTTTGTGTTACTGTTTTGTCAACAACTCTCCAACAAATATAATCAAAGTGCACACAAGTGTAGGGACAGGTAGCTCATTGTTTGTCTGTGATCTGGTTTAAAAGTAAAAATAAGGGAGACGACAGCACTGTCATATTAACTGAATGCCTTTTCGGGGGGGGGGGGGGGGGACCTGATGGCAACGCCACTGTGTCAGTAATTACATGCTCCCTTGTGGATATTACTGAAATCCCTTCTTTGCAGCCTGCCTGTGAGGCCTCTCTCCCAATGTAGTTCAAGCAGAAGGGGGTAAAAAAAACAAAACCAAAAACTTGAACCGGTCTGTGGACCAAAACAAACAAGCCTTCTCCATCTTTCCGCCCAAATTTAACAAGAGCGGCACTATTTTGAAATGCACAGTGCTGTTTAACTTCTGCCAGAATATAGTACGTACCCCAGTATAGGTATATTTTTTAATTAACAGGCAGTGCTTCTGGTATTTTGAAAATGAGGTCAGTTCAGTTACCAACAAAGCGCTCCTCTCAGTCATCTATCATCACGCCGGGGTGAACGGTTAGGAGGAGAGACCCCTGTGTGCTTTGATACTGCAAAGACGATGTGCATGGTGGCGGGATTTCAGCTTGGAGACTGTCGAGACCAGGGCTGGAAAAAAAGTTTTTGTTGAATTTACTCATGATTTCATCAAGTAGTTGCACACGATAAAATCATTTGGATACAGTCGATGTATAGTCTACTTAAAAAAATATTTCTGGAGAATGGATGCCTTACAAAATGATTCACTTATGGAATCCTTGTATTTCTGCAATAGAAACACCCAATTGTTTAACCGGTATATTGCATACCGAGTGTGAAGAGTTACTGAATTTCTGTTCGGTTCCGCCCCCTCTGGGCTTAATTGCTACATAGCTGCGGCGCCAATGGGAAGATTACCAATGGAAACTCCAAGTGGGATGAAACAGTTTTCAGATTTACTGCCTCTGGCACTGGTGCGAATATCATGTAACACTGCGAGCACTGAAGTAGTAGCTCTGATGTTCAGCTGTATGGTGAAAAAAAAAAAAAAACATGCTCGATGATTGAAACTATAATTAGGCATTCGTGGTGAGTAATTTGGAGTAATATATGGAATGGTGTGAAGTTATACCACGGCTACCATTTTGCGCGAGGACTGGCGGCAAGTCATCACATGCTGGTGACATACTATCTGTGATCTGTCGTTATCTGTAAGCCACTCCACTGTCAGCGAAGCATCCACTCACCCCTGTCTCTTGTTGTTGCTACGGCAACCGCATCAACAATCCCATAAAGCCACATTTTTTTTCCGTGATGAAAATATGGTGGATTCATGTCATTTTGATGAAAGGTGTATTTAGACATACTGAGCATTTTCATTGCCGCTTTATCACACTTTGTAGACAGTATGGCCCAAATAATACCTACGTCTGCTACAAGCTAAGTTTGAAAGCAACAAGAAGCTGTAGCGTCCATTAATGATGATATAAAATATTTTTATACAAAATATATCTAAAGTATAATATCAGGAAATCCATCCATCCTTTCTCGACCGCTTATCTGGGGTTGGGTCGCGGGGGCCACAGCTTTAGCTTCCATCTCCCCAGCCACTTCTTCCAGCTTTTCCCAGGTGATCCCAAGGCGTTCCCAGGCCAGCTGGGAGACATAGTCTCCCCATTGTGTCCTGGGTCGTCCCCGGGACCTCCTACCAGTGGGACATGCCCGGAACACCTCAACAGGTCCAGGAGGCATCCTAATGAGATGCCCAAGCCACCTCATCTGGCTCCTCTCGACATAGAGGACAAGCGGCTTGACTCTGAGGCCTTCACGGATGACCGAGCTTCTCACCTTATCTCTAAGGGAGAGCCCGGACACCATGCGGAGGAAACTCTCTTTGGGTGCTTGTATCCGTGATCTCGTTCTTTCGGTCACAACCCACAGCTCATGACCATAGTTTAAGAAATATCATGAAATATTTGTAAAAAATTATTCATTCTTCTCCTAACACAAGTTTTCCCCTTTATCATCTCAATTACGAATTTAGCCGCATAATCTTTATACTATATTCTTATTCATTTTTATTATTCTTATTAATATCAAAAAAGTCACCAGTTTCGGCACCTATAATTTGCATAAAATAATGACTATTTCAACGTATCCTGCATGTGAACGCTGCTCCCTCGGGGCCACGGGGGCCCCCCTTCATAGTGACGCAGCGTGCAGCAGAGCGGTTTGGGTTCAAGGAGCCGCCCACCATCTCCTCCCCATGTCTTAATGACCATTAACCGCTTCTGCTTTGTGTCAGCGGAAAGTAAGGGACTGGAAGAAAGAGGATAAAAAGTGTAAAAATCAGGAGGGAGGGAGGGGATGAGGGGGAGAGAAAGAGAGAGAGAGAGAGAGAGAAAGACTGGATAGAAAATTCCTCACGGCTGATAAGCGGGAGAAGGAGATCCAGTTTACTGCACAGATAGGGTTGGAATGTGTGGCCAGATGATGATGACTGGGTCCGTGACTCGGTTGCCCCTATCTTGGCCTGCCAAGACACATCACCGCTGACTGCCTCCACGCTCGTCCAGGCTGCTGCTTTCCCAGAAGAAGCATACTGCATTCGTTGTGCGCTTTCATGACTGCGCCTGTGAGGCTCTGTCTTACTTCTGCGCTATAATATCACGCGGCCCTAATTACTATGTATTACGACCACAATGCGGTGAAATCCACCCAAAAACACTAGACCGGCACACTCGGTGTTTGCAACTGCTACATATTGTGGTCTATAAAATATTCATATATGCCTCCGGTCTAATTTTAGTGTGATGAGTATGCGCCACAAACTCCAGGGCTCAGCGCTCCTTCCTCTTGAAAACACACAATTTCGTGTGAATTATTGGTCAGCTACAATAGCAACAACGTTGACATGAGAGGAAATGGAATCCAGCCCAGACTCTATGGCGCATGGCCAGGTAGTCAGAGAGGGCATTTAAGCCCCGCAACTGAGCTCCCAGTGTTTTAATTTACAATAAATCACAGTGCATAGATGGCTCCTAAAAAGGCCTGCACAGACACTGTCTGTAGGTCAGAGACGGAGAGAAAGAGCAGATTGGGTTAGTGGGAGCCAAGGCTGAATGAGGATCAGACTCCCACTCAGCTGTCTCCAGAGGAAATCAAACAAGCCAGTGCGGTTCATTATTTCGTCAGTCGACTCAGCGGCAGAGAGCACTGGCGACACGGCCATTTATTCGGAGTCCCCGCTGACCTCCTTGAGCGTAGCTTACAATCAGAGACGCCGCTTGGCTGGTGTGTAGTTCAGTATTCACTCCTGGCATTGCTACTTGAAAGGTCAAGATCTCTGTTGCTTCAGATCCAGAAGAGCTCTCCTGACTTGTGAATCTTTCTAGGATGGACCAGCACTCGGCGAACATGGTCTTGTGATCACCCCGGGAAGAAACTGCGCCCAATATGCAACCTGTGAACTGCAATTGCCTCACCCTTTTATGATTTGTAGTTGCCATGTAGGTTTACAACCCTGTTGTATTCCTTTATAGTGCACTTTGATGCCTCTCGTGCATTTCGTTTTTGCAGTCATGTTTTTATATCGTACACTGTTGGCATCCACGTGGTAGCAAAGTACAACTTTTTACAATAAATACTTTTTTTTTTTACAATTTACAATTTAGAAGTTTGAATCTAGTTGGTGTGGATTGGGGAGTTGATTTGGGCATCTCATAGTTTGCGCCAGTGTGTTGCGAATGGGAAAGACCAGCCCATTCATCGTCATTCTCCGTGAACCAGGAAAGAAGGAAACCGTTTTTCCCATTCCTCACAGCAAATAAGTAATTAATTCCAGAGATGTGCAGCACATTGTCTGGATCGTCCGCATTTATTGCTTACAGTTCTGAGAGTTGTAATTTGAATCTTGGCTCTGGCCTTCCTTTGTGGCATTTGCAGGATCTGCCCATCTTCAGGTACGCCACTTTCCCGCCACATTCAAATTAACATGATTCCTAGGGTAAATGAATCATCTAATTTGCACTTACACACGCATGCCATAATGAGCAACAGCCATAACAGCCCCTGAGATGAACGAGGCACGGGACGCACTTTTGCAGCATGTTAAACTTCCGTAGCTGACGTGTACCGTTTTAAAATGCTTCTCTCGGTCCTTCAGATTGCCATTCTTTGCCAGTTCCCTCGGTGAATTGGACATGAAACGCCGTTCCTTCTTACAACAGCTACCTGCTAATAGAAACGTGTGTCGCAGGCTATGACGCAAATCTTTGTTGACAGAAATGTTGAAATGTAATATTTATTCGACACATTTTTCCAGCATTGGAAAATGTTAAGAATGTTTGTCCTCCTACAAAAAATATATTTTCACTCCCACCATCTTTTTCCATTTTCAAACACTTTTTTTAAACTTCAGGGAGCCACTAGAGGGCGCTAAAGAGCCGCATGCAGCTCCGGAGCCGCGGGTTGCCGAACTCCGGTCTAACTAGTTGGCAGGTTCAGACGCCAGTCTCCTCACTATCATCAGGGTCTGATGAAGCCGATATGACTGGCAGCCCTCACTGCTTCGTAGTCTGCCATCGGGCGTGACTGACTGGATGGGTGGAGTTGAGTGTTGCCGATAGGCGTATGATGGCGGATGGGGATAGGGGCAGAGCTTGCATTCTACTGTGGGAAACAGACAAGAAATATTCTATCAGCTGTGTCGAAGACAAAGTGGCACCAGTGGGGCACCACCCAGGCACAAAGCTAACTAGAGACACGGGTCATAAATGTTATCACCCAGGCTCCGGTGACATACTAACTTTATCTTACTCATTAAGGTCAGCCCATTGTGTTTCCTCCTCTGGGCTGAATCATAGTCTACACCAGTTTGCACGGGGTAGAGAACCAGTTTGAGAACATTGGGCATTGTTCGGAAAGTATTTAATCAAACAAAGCCAAAAGCCAGACAGGTTTGTGTTTTGTCTGACGAGGAAAGGTAAAGGGGAGCTGCGGTGTCATGAACTGCTCAGCACACTTAACGAGAGCTATGCAAGTCAAGAAACCTCACTGCTAAGTTGATTTCATCGCTGCTGCTCTTTTCCAACTTGCCTTGTATTGCTGATTTGATTTGTACTTCCCACTGGTCTTCGCCTCCGTGCTAGCTGGTCCATCAGAGATGGAACAGTTCTAATCAGAGTCTACTTATGGTTGGACATTTTTGGACAAATGAAACAAACTAGATGAAATGACACAGCAATTTGCGACCATCGGCAGCTATTTTGAGTCATGTATAAGTAAGGGTGTGACAAAAATGTCTGTCATCCAGTTGAAAGATGGTATAATGCATTCCAGCGCCTCTTGTAATGTGTGATTCGGGCTATTTAGACTGTAAAGATATTTTATGGAGGCTCCTTCCCGGTGCAGTCGTGAGAATTCCCATATGTGAGGAAGAGCTTCCCACTGAGACAGTTGTCTTTAATGTGCCTGGCCAGATGTCTTGAATATTTTCAGGCACATTGTTAAAATACAAAGCGGCTAATTACACTGACTGTTAAAGTCAAGGGCTCGGAGGATGCTTTACTCGGATAGTCATGAAAATGAGACGAGCCGGTCCACATTTATAAGGTGAGGGCTGGATTCAAGATGTTGTCAACTGTCACTTTAGTCAGCGGATGTCACGTGCAGAGATTTCTACACGAATGTTGTACCACTTTTGTACGGGTGATACGTGCCAGGATTTCCTGCGATAGGTGAATTTCCATGAGGTTGACTTTTTGGCGGAGGGTTTGGCGTGGCACCTCGGAGCCATGACAAACCCCCAGTTTCCACACTTCTCAACCAACGCTTGTTACACGTAATAAAAGTTACATAACTTTTGAACTGCAAAATGGAAAATAACGACCGGAGCTGTAAATCCTTATACTTCCGGCGTGCGTTGTTCTTCTTCATCTTCCATTTAAAAGATGAAGAATGGTCGTCATGGGAACAAGATTGCAATCTCCACAACAAGGATTTACTGCACCAAAAGCTCCAGTAACCCGTCAGGAATGTATCTCTTGGCCACAATGCGACATGGAACTCTGGTTAAAGAAAGCCATTTTAAACTTTAAAAAAAAAATAACTTTAAGCCGCCGTTTGACCAAGCGTGTGTACTGTGGGGTGGGCAGAATAAGCTCCACTCACATCAGTCTTCTTCGCAGCCTATAATCAGCAGCTTATGCTTCAACTGTCAACTGGCGCGCTGGGCCCCGGTACGCCATTTTTTTCGGGGGCACCGCATAACCGAACGGCACATTTGAACAACGTTCTGAATTTCCAAATGGTCTAAGTGAGGCAGTGCGGTCGGAGCGTATTTCCGAACCTTTCGATTTTTGTAAAACAAATTTAGCCCCCCCCTGACCTTTTTTGACTGGTACATCTTAGAAGGAAGAAAAACAGCAAGAAAACTTACGACGTAAACCCGCAATAGATTAATTTCTGGCTACAATTGAAACCCTGCGACAGAATGAAGACTCGAGAACCGAACCATTAAATAGCGAGGGAACACTGTAAACCCATCGACATAAATCACAGTGCCACCTGGGTGGGTTCAAGAAAGGTGATAGGGAGTCATAACACTGTCTCGGTAAGAGATTTATGTCAGCCCTCTCAAAAACATCTCAAAGACTGGCACATAGCAAGGATACGGCAGGATAATGCTTGCAAAATGCTTTCATTTCCCAATTACTCTTCAGTGACTTGCTTCAAGGAATAGCTTACAAAATAAAACCTGTTTTTTTGGGGGGGAATCCAGGAGTGAGGAAACGTAAACAAAGTCTCAGTTGGATTATTGAAACTACAATGCCCCCCCAGGCGCATGCATTCCAAACAGCACACTATTAAACACATCCTCCAAGCCCAGTGATCACAGTGACATCTTGTTCTTCATTCCTTTGGTGTGCCATAAAAGGGTGTTGGTATTGGTCCTCATCCATATTTGTGATTGTTTCTGTCTTAAAAAAAAAAAAAAAAAAGCACACTTGCTGATGATTGTGTAACTCTCCAGCACAGAGGCAGCGATATTGGAAACAGATGTGGCCCTTTCAGAATATGGGTGGGGTCGTCGTCGAAACTTTTCATGGGTTCTAGGCAAGACATTCCTCCATTTTTGATTGCTGATGCTTTGGTTTTGGTCGGGCTCGCAATACGGCTCTACTAGTCAGGTTGTGAAGTTACAATGGACGGCTGTTGATCAAGGCCCACAACGCGCATGAAATAAGGTCTTTTTTTATTGATTACAATGCAATTGAAGTTCCAGCTCGGGAAAGCCGTTTAAGACTTTGGTGAAAGGCCTGCTTTGTATTGACCGGTATTATAGAAAACATTTGAGAGCTCATCATAAGTTGTGCCTGATGTAGAACATCTCACATATGTACATTACATGATGACCTCACGTCAGTATCCCTGAGGAAACAACGGCGTTTCAGATGTTTTCAAGTGCGAGCGAGGCTAAAGAAGAAAAACGTCTTTGTGGAAGGCGGAATGCAGAGCATTCCCCACAATGCCGCACTGCTGCAATTACTCCAGCGACTGGTGCCGGGCCAAGACAATGAGACGACAGCTTGCGGTGTTGAGTGGGAGAGCAGTTCATCTCCCATCTTTCTTCTGCTAGCATGTAGTAAACAAATCGGATTTTGTTTATTGTAATACAATGAAACTTATTTGCTTGTGTTTGTTCAATAAAAAGACGTGAGAAGAGGCCCTTGAAAAAAATAATCCCACGTTAAATCGTCATCGCAATGTGGAGGGAGGAAAGTTACGTTAGATCATTTTTCAAAATTGGTCAACCCTCATCCTGACTGAAAGTTTTCATTTTTTATTTGCAAATTCATTGGCACAGTCACGCTTTGTGAAGGGAGACTGAAAAGAAAAGAGGCGAGATTAGCCTGGCAGCGGGGAGTAAAGGCGGCGGGGAGGCCAGTGCTGCCAGAGTGTCTGCCTCCCTCTCGCCTTTTCGACTGCCTCAGAGAGCCGCCTGCCCCTCCCACCGCTGTTATCAGCTGGCTCAGCAGCGGCAAAGAAATGGCTAAACAAGGCACTGTTTATCTCGCAGACTGTATTCACTGCACATCCCGACCGCTTGACTCTGGCACCGCTTAAATCTGCCTGGCTCTGCAAATAAAGGGGCTGCAGACCTGCTCACAACAACAGTCTACATGGAGGTGCCTGGGCGCAGATCAATGAGCGAGACTGTCTCCGGCCGTATTAGGCACTGCAGACCCGAATCTCCAACCTGACTTCAGGCCATGCTCAGTTCGACATGACAAAATAAATGTAAAGTAACCAAAGCAACGGACATCATCAAAGATCCAACCCAAAACACAGTCACAATACTAATACTGATATTGCTGGAGCAGTAGGACCCTAATGAATGCAAAATAAATTGACCGTACCTTAATTAATCAATTGCCACTGACTCATTCAACAAGCTGCTTGACAACAGACATGAGCCCATTGATCTTGAGCTGAGCATGTTGTTTCCTTAATCAGTATTCATGGAAGCCAACTTTAATGGTCGCCAGGCCAATATTGGACAGTTATA